GCTCGCCGGAGTCCGCTCAGGTCTGGTTTATCCTTAACTGCCAAACAGGAACTTGACAAAGCATATAAGCACTTATTTATATTCAAACGTGTGTGGCATTTCATATGTGTAGCTGATGTGTTCCTGATTTTATAAAAGGGCTTGTAAAATATTTAGAAAAGCATGACTTCATGTCACCTAGGATCACACATAAAGAATTTTCTAGAAGACGTTACAGCACAAGTAAAGACACATGGCAGTACATTTAGCATGTGTGGATTTGAGGCTGATAATGGGCTAAAAGTAGTCAACTTACGATTTTCATATCCATATATTACCTAAAAGTGTGATTGGTATTACTTTCTCACAAAATCTTAAATGGTAAAACACATTCATCCCCAGAAGTCCTCATAAAGAAAAGATAGATGAAATGATACACGTGAAGGGCTTATAGTTACCATATAAACGCCAGTCTTTCTACTTCAATGCAGATACTCATGTGTTTGCTGGAGCTCCACGTGGCTGCTGGGTAGAGACCATCTTGGTGTCTGTCTTGCTTTCGGAGGGGGATGAAGGTCATCCCTGCCTGGCACCATGTTACAGGACCCGGGCCTGGCCGCCCCGGAGCCGGCACGTGGCCAGCCTTGCACAGGGGCTGCCGTGTAACAAGCCAAGTAACGACGCGTTCACTCGGCACCAGGTGTGGCTGGTGGGGAGCATGTGTGATCCAACAACACTGACGGCACGTCCCACTCGAGGCTCCTGCACATCTGCCCTGGAGGGGCGTCCGGGGCAGGAGCACAGGCCTGCGGGGCGCGGGTTTCCGACCAGAGACTCGGTTTAGAGGAGCGAGTGAGAGGGCAGCTTCCCCGGAGCAGAGCCCCGGTGCCTGGTGGGACCAGGGTGTGTGGCGGACCCGCCGATCCAATCGATGTGAAAAGTGTAAAGGACGCAATGGCCCATCTTGTACCACGGTGCCTCGGTGTCTGGGGAGCGGGTGACCCTGAGTCAGGCGGTGGGGGAAAGAGGGACTGTCCCTGCGATCAGTCCCCGTGGGGAAGGCTAGGGTCACAGGGAGCTGCCGCTGCAGCTGAGCGCTGGGCGAGGTGGCTGGCTCAGACCACGCCCCCAGCGGAGGGTCGTGGGGGACAGGCCCAGATGCCTGGATTTCACCTCCTCCTCTAAGAGGAAGGTCGTGGTATTCACCCCAAACAATGAGTTCATGTTTTCTGGGCTTCCGCTGAGGGTAGAAATACACTTTTGCAGAAGTCACTATGATGAATGACAGGGACATACAAGAACAACGTCATCTAACCCACGCGCCACGGCGAGGACGGCCGTGCCTGGAGGTGGGACTTCCTGCTGGTCCCCGGGGCTCAGTTCATCGGGCACCTCATTGCACGCCTTTGCCATGTTCATGGACTTACATGGAAGCCGCCTGTGTCGCATGAGCAGACGTGAACCTGGCTCCCACGGTTTCTGGGTCCATGTAGCCATGAGCTGCCTGCGGATACGCATCCAGTGTTGAGGGCACACTCTGTGTCCGGATGGTTCTCAGCGTGACTTTCTGTTAAAGCAAGAGGACTTAGGTGCCTACTCCATGCTCATCACAAACAGCGTCCTGCGTTCCTCAGCCTCTGGCTGTGGGAGCAGGGACGGTAGGGACAGTGCCACTCTGGGTGGGGCACTCCGTCCTGGTAGATTCAGCACCAAGAACAGCAGCAGCAGTGACATGGAGGAAGCTGCAGCGCCAAAGCCAGGAGAGAAGCCCAGCCCCGGATGCAGGCGGCCGGGCCCAGAGCGTCCGTCCATCTGTCCATCTGTCCCCGAGCAAGGCCCGCGCCCAGAGAGCCCAGCCGTTTCTTGCAGGTTATCACCAGCGGACAGACCACACCTGTGTGCTGTCCCAGAGGTCAACTCTGGTCCTTGGTGGGAGGGCACAACGTGAACGCTTTAACCTCCTATTTCCTTCGTGTGAGAACGGACACTGGAGAGCTCTGCCCATGCGTGCAACCGGCACACACCGCGGACGCCCGCGTGTCCTCTCGGGCCTACGCATCCTGAGGCAGGCAGCCTCTACTCTGAAGGAGTGACGAGCAGTGTGGACCCCGGCTGCTGTCTGCCACAGTCTGGCTGGCCTACAGACCCAGAGCCAGGACACATCCGTCACGGCCTCAGCCAGTTACGTCACACACGCAGCTGCTGCCATAGAGCCAGGACACGCCCACCATGGCTTCAGCCAGTGACGTCACACACAGCTGCTGCCATAGAGCCAGGACACGCCCGCCACGGCCTCGGCCAGTGATGTTACACACGCAGCTGTTGCCATAGAGCCAGGACACGCCCGCCACGGCCTCGGCCAGTGACGTCACACATGCAGCTGCTGCCACGTTGTGGTTGGGGGAAGTTACAGCCCCAAACAGCATTGGCATGTACTTCCCTGGGGCCGAAAGGTTTTTAGACTTAGATATTTTTAGATCTTAAAAAGGTTATGCAATTTTTATATGTGAGCTCTGAAATATCTCCAGGAGTGTCTATGCCCTGTCATTTTAAAATATGTATATAGTAACTGCAGGGAGAAGCCTGACGAGTCACACCAAGTTGGATAAATATAGACTAGGAACAGTGTCATAAGTCGCTGTCAGTTTTTGCCATAAATGAAATGTTACACCACATTTAGAGAAAAGAATTAAAACTGTGTTTTCAGCATCTTTTAGATTTGAGAATTTCATTTTAGTTTTTATTGCCTATTACATTGGCCTAGGGATCAGAAAAGGTTTATGCTTTTAAATTGGGTGATAAAGTAAGATTTTAAAAAACGCTTTTGCAATGTAGCAGTAGCTGAATTGATGTGAACGGCGATGCTGTTAGGCCTGACCCTGTGGTGCAATCGAAGGCTGTGTGCTCGCTGCAGTGACGGCCAAGACTCGCTCTCTCCGGCTGAGAATGGCTTCAGGCTGGTGCACGCGTGCACGCCTGTGTGTGTGTGTGTGTGTGTGTGTTTACATGTACACAATGCATTTATTTGTTGTGAACCAACAGAGGGCCTAGCAGAAGGCAGCGTTCCTCCTGGTGACCTTGGCAGTGGCCGTGGTGGATGGGCAGCAAGTGACCGCCTGTAGACCAGGGCTCTGCATCTTGGGAGCGACACCGCTGGGCTCGGCCCGCCGCCGCGAGGCTGTATTAACGTCTTATTAAGAGAAAACAAACCTACCATTGAGCATCACACTCATTTACTGCTGAGGTTTGGTCTGTTGAAGGTCTACTCTAACCCCATTTTCCCACTGGCGTTCAGTTAGCAACGTCTGCAAGTAGTGTGCGATCCAATGAGTTCGGAGTCGTTTTGTATCCAAACCTGTATCATTATTCCTGGATTTTTATTTTGCTGTTGTTGTTATTCATCTTCCCTGGAGGATATTGTTCCGTTGATTTTTTTTTTCTTTTAGAGAGAGTGTGAGGGAGGGGGAGGGAGGGAGAGAGAGAGAGAGAGAGAGAAAAAGAGAGAGGGAGAGAGAGGGAGACGTATTTCATAGACAGGGCTAGTAATTTCCAGTTTGGTTTTATCGCATAATGTGAATGGAAGCTCCCGCAGATCTGTACCTCTCCCACCATGATCAGTGAGCACTCCCGCGCCCCCAGAAAGGACGCGGGCAGTTGTCTGCGGGTTTCATCTGCTGGCCGAGCACTTGGTGATTTGCTGGCAGGGTGTCCACCATGGGTTCTGCAAGCTCAGAGAAAACATAAGTGCGCCTGTCTGTCACCTGTGTGCGAAGCACCGTCCCGACGCCCACAGCTCGGCTGTTCCGCAGGAATTACTCTGTGCTGTGAGGGAGGGTCTTCTTCATGTTGACAAAAAGCAGTGGCCGCCAGCCCCCGTTCACAGGGTCGGTCACGCCCTCCATGCTGAGCCTTTTGGGGGTCAGGAGTTGCTCTAACTCTCTCTCTCAATGCCCTTGAAGGATCTGCCGCATTTAAAGGATGAGTAGAAAGGGTAGCATTTGCCTGGCTGGTGCTGCTCAATCGGTTGAGCATTGACTCATGAACATAGAGGTCACCGGTTCGATTCCCGGTCAGGGCACATGCCTGGGTTTTGGGCTTTATCCCCAGGATGGGGCATGCTGGAGGCAGCCCATCAATGTTTCTCATCATCGATGTTTCTATCTCTCCCTCTCCCTTCTTCTCTCTAAAATCAATAACAACATATTTTTAAGAAAGGGTAGCATTCCGCGTTACAGAAGAAACGCCCCCAACCAGTGTGGCTTGCCTGCTGCCCCAGGAGAGCACCTGGGCTCAGGGGCAGAACAAGAGTAGGCAAATGAATGAACAAGGCGAGAGGTGCAGGTTCCAACATCCCAGCCGCCGCGTGGAGGTGGAGCCGGTCCCCCGGGATTCCGGGGTGCTGGAGGCAGGAAAGGTGTGGGCTCCGCATGAGCTGGGAGTCACCATAGGCGTGCCTGCCTCCTGAGAGTAGGGTCCTTCCTCTGGCCTTCACGCTTGCTGCTCACCGACCAACGGTGTAGAGATGCTGTGGGAAAAAGAAAAGCACGGCGTTCCCTTTAGGAAGCCTGGGTCGCGCCCTGGCTTCTCCTGTGATTGTGAGGCTTTGGGCCAGTCAGTTCACTGCTCTGGGTATCCCTTCCCTCGTCACCAGACGCTGTTTCAGGCTTCCTCCTGCGTCCGTGTGGAGTTGTCTCTGAAACTCACTTGTCAGTGAGGGGCGTTGCTCCACGGGGCACAGGCCCCAGCTCCGTGGCACAAAGAGCACAAGAAGGAAAAGCCAGCAGATTCCTGGACCCCCCTTCAAAGGGCGTCCCTACTGCTGCCCAAGGTCATTCTTTCCCTCGAGAGATCTGATGGATTTATTTCTAACTCAGACCTGATGACAGAGCCCTTCGCCTGCCCCAATTTTCTAACATTTAAGAAATTGTACTGTGTTTACTGAGGTCGTTTCCTTGGAAATGTTTAGACGGGGAAGCGCCGGCTGACTGCCATGTCTTTGATCGTATTTCTCTTTCTTGCAGGAATTTTTCTTTAAATGTTCAGCGCACCCGACCTCTGACAAAGAAACATCAGTAGCTTTGAACTTGATCACAACCAACAGCCGGGGCATCACCTGCATCACGTGCACCGACATCAGGTGAGGACTGGAAACACTGTCACGTGCACCTCGCTTTCCCAACAGCCCGGCCTTCCCAGGGAGTCTCTCTCCTGAGGAGAGCCTGCTTGACTTTGACACTGTCCCCCTCGCTTGGGTATATTTTAATGGAAAAGACTTCAAAATGCCAAATCCTTGCATTTGCAGCTTGCTCAGTAGTCAAGTAGGATCCTAGGATATAAATGAGATGACTGCTATCTCAACACGGACTCAGGCATAGAGATGTTGTCATGGATTCATGTCATGGATTCATGTGTAGGGATGTTGTCATGGACTCATGCACAGGATGTTGTCATGGATTCATGTGTAGGGATGTTGTCATGGACTCATGCACAGGATGTTGTCATGGATTCATGTGTAGGGATGTTGTCATGGACTCATGCACAGGATGTTGTCATGGATTCATGTGTAGGGATGTTGTCATGGACTCATGCACAGGATGTTGTCATGGATTCATGTGTAGGGATGTTGTCATGGACTCATGCACAGGATGTTGTCATGGATTCATGTGTAGGGATGTTGTCATGGACTCATGCACAGGATGTTGTCATGGATTCATGTGTAGGGATGTTGTCATGGACTCATGCACAGGATGTTGTCATGGATTCATGTGTAGGGATGTTGTCATGGACTCATGCACAGGATGTTGTCATGGATTCATGTGTAGGGATGTTGTCATGGACTCATGCACAGGATGTTGTCATGGATTCATGTGTAGGGATGTTGTCATGGACTCATGCACAGGATGTTGTCATGGATTCATGTGTAGGGATGTTGTCATGGACTCATGCACAGGATGTTGTCATGGATTCATGTTAGGGATGTTGTCATGGACTCATGCACAGGATGTTGTCATGGATTCATGTGTAGGGATGTTGTCATGGACTCATGCACAGGATGTTGTCATGGATTCATGTGTAGGGATGTTGTCATGGACTCATGCACAGGATGTTGTCATGGACTCATGCACAGGATGTTGTCATGGACTCATACATAGGATGTTGTCATGGGCCCATGTGCGGGGATGTCATAAACCCCTGCATGAGCACACCCCAATACTCTACATCAGTGGTTCTCAACCTTGGCTGCACATTAGAACCACCTGGGAATCTTTTTAAAATCCTGATTTCTGGGCCTCATCCTCCGGAAATTCTGTTTCTTTGTTATGGGGCAGGGCCACAACATTAGTAACAAAGAAGCAGAATTTCCGAAGGATGAGGCCCAGAAATCAGGATTTTAAAAAGATTCCCAGGTGATTCTAATGTGCAACCAAGGTTGAGAACCACTGCTCTACATTGTACTTTGCTAATTGTGGGTTTTGTTTTTTTCCTGCTAATGCTTTATATTTTAATTTAGAAATAATTCACTCACAATAAAATTTCTTAAATGTTAGAAAAATTTACCCTTATGGTTAGTAAGATTTTAGTTTAATGCTTTCCAGTATTTTGAGAAGCCTAGATATTTGCATGTACATATGGGATGTGTGTGTGTATGTGAATGTATACATGCCTGCTGTATGCAATCATGTTATTTATAGTTTTGTATCCGCCTTTTCCATTTAACATGGTATCGTGATAAATTTTCCCTGCCATGAAATATTTTATGAAAACAAGGCACATGATTTTAATAAGCGTCTAAGATTCCATCGCATGGGAATACTCTATTTACTCCTTTCCCCATTGCTAGTAATTTAGACTATTTCCAGTGCTTTTTTAAAATGTACATATTAAATGAAGTAAGACTGAAGTCTAAATCCTTTCATGTGCTTCGAATGTAAAGGCACAGTGATAGAAATTGGCCTCCGGGTTCCTCATAAAATCCTGGAAACTGAAGTAGGAAATCGGCAAGGCTCTGACTGGCTCTAAAGGTGGGAGCCGTGCTTGGTCACAGCTTTAAAGCGATCCTGTCATTTGAGAAAACACTTGGTTGTGAGTCCCGTCTGCTTGCAGGTACAGGAGTAACAGAGGAGGTTTTCGGGGCTCCTGCTGTCCAGACCACACCCTGTGCTGGTTAACATGCGAAAACATGTAGAAGATAGATGTGCCATGCATTTCCAGATGTTGGCGAAAATTCCCTTCAGTGTGTGAAAGGAAAACACTATCGGGAAGTGAAATACAAAAACAGTTCACAGCAGAGAGAGCAGAGAATCACAGAGCCCGGCCTGTCCATGTGCTGTGCCAACTACGGACTGCCTGTAAGGCAAGGCCAGGCTGACGGGGTACAGACGTGACCAAGGCCGCAGTCCCACTCGTGTCACTGCAGCAGAGAATTTAAATTAGTGTTTCTGACCTGAATTAAAGCAATTCTGCTTCATGCAATGCAACAAGCAGAAAACAGATTCTTTTTACACTAGAGGCCCGGTGCACAAAATTCGTACCGTGGCGGGGGGGGGGGGGGTGCCCCTCAGCCCAGCCTGCCCCCTCTCCAATCTGGGATCCCTCGGGGGATGTCCGACTACGTGGCTGTGGGCGCCGCCATCTTTGAGGGTGTGGCAGTCAATTAGCATAGTCCCTCCTTAGTGGCCGTGGGTGCTGCCATCTTTGCAATGGCGTGAGAGTCAATTAGCATATTCCCTCTTTATTAGATAGGATGGAACATTCTCTTTTTAAAAAACCCTCCTGAATTTAATGGAATTTTCCAAAACTGAATAAGATAAAGTAATTTTATTAGTAATCAACAAGCCTTAAAGCAATATTACGAATAAGGAGGAGGTTAAGGTGATATTAGGAATAAGGAAGTTAAGGGGATATTAGGAATAGGGAGGAGAGTTAAATTTCTGTGGCCAACTTGTAGGGACTAGATTAGGGGTGGGCAAACTTTTTGACTCGAGGGCCACAATGGGTTCTTAAACTGGACCGGAGGGCCGGAACAAAAGCATGGATGGAGTGTTTGTGTGAACTAATATAAATTCAAAGTAAACATCATTACATAAAAGGGTACGGTCTTTTTTTTCAATAGTTTTATTCATTTCAAACGGGCCTGATCCGGCCCGCGGGCCGTAGTTTGCCCATGGCTGGTCTAGATCCTTCAGCTGTATTGTTGAGGGTCAGTAACTTATGCAAAGAGAAGGACTGTTTTATCAACACTGATGCTCTGAAATGTGAGCCCGTGCCAGTGGGTGACCTTCATTTCCCCGGAGTCCACCCCAAGATTTCAGGTGTGAGCAGCTGCACCCCCAGGATTCCTGGAGACATTGCAGGGGCCTCAGCATGAAGTTCACATGCTCACCTCTTCCTTCAGCAGTGGCTGCAGGTGCCCAGCAAATCCACCCCGACCAGTTCTGCAGCCGTGAGGTCAGCCGTGCATGTGTCCCCGCCTTGGTCTTAGTGGTTCATTTTCTGAAGGTGGATGCTAAGAAGCAGCTATATTTTTAAAGCCTCTCAGTGGCCCTCGCCAGGGCTGGTGACAGGGAAGCCTTATTTTTATGGCCTATTTTCAATGGACGTGAATGCCCATAAGTCTTGGTTATTTCCTTTATTTTATTGAAAAGCCTTTAAATAGCTCATTTTACTTTAAATAATATTGTAAGTGACATGTACATTTGTTTCTAATTGCAACTTAATCCTTGTAATTAGCAATTGATGATCAACTTAGTGAGGAGAGGACGTTATTTTCATTGCAAATTGTGTTTGCACTGGTTCATGTCCTCAGATTGCAAAGTGCCGGGACATTTGGTAGCGGTGGGCAATGGTGGGATCTACATGGCGCTCTGAAGACATCGCATGTGTAGCAATTATTTCCCATGACATTCAGAATCAAGTATTTACAGATTTGTTCTTCGTGGCTTCTAAAACTCACAGAGCTGTTTGCAGCCAAATCAGCAATAGTCTCAGGAACCCAAATGCAAGCAAATTATTCACTGAAGCAAGGCTCATGGTGTGTGCATTCTGTTTCTTGTTAATTTGGCAAAGTCTGCGTCAGAAGAACAGAGCCTCGAACCATTTCTGACGTGCAGCGGGAATGACATCGGAGCGTTTCCGGGCCCAGACCCAGATCATCCCGCACTAGGAGCTACTTACTGTGGGGCCGTGGTAGTGGTCACGCCCTAACATCCACACGTTCATGTGCAGAAGTACCTGCATGGGCACCAGCCTCCGCCAGCAGTACCACGGCGTGACCGTTTTACGCAGCACCTGTGACCTTTAGCACCTCTGTCATCAGAGATACCTTAAACAGTCAACCACTCTGCCCTGGCCAGTGTATATCAGTGGTTAGAGCATCAGCCCATCCAAAGCAGGGCCTGGAGTTGATTCCCTGTCAAGGGCACATACTTGCGTTGCAGGCTCGATCCCCTGCCCCAGGGTGCATGCAGGAGGCAACCAATCGCTGTGTCCCTCTCCCATTGATGACTCTCTCTCTCTCTCTCTCTCTCTCTCTCTCTCTCTCTCTCTCTCTCTCTCCCTCCCTCCCCTCTTCTACTTTCTCTAAAAATCAATGGGGAAATATCCTCAGGTGAGGATTAACAACAAAAAAGCCAACCACCGGTTCACTCAGCAGATGTATGTTGAGCTGATGTGACTCAGGAGGTGTCGCAGGTGCCCTGGGCAGTGAAGAGCACTGTTCATGGGACGCAGGGAGGGCAGAGGCCAGCTGTGCCCCCCAGCAGTCGAGGGTGTGGTGGGAAAGGGCTGGGTAGGGCCAGGGGACCTGGCAGCTCCTCCCGGTGCCTCCTCAGTATGTCGTTGCTCTGCAGCAGGAGCCCAAATTCACTTCCAGTGACCCTGTTGCTTAGCCAAGACAGCGTGCAAAGTAAACAGAGAATAGCTCCTGTGTTGGTAACGGGGCAGGGCATGCGCCTTGGCCCACCCGCTGTTCTGTACATCCAGCCAGCGGTGCTGACGTCACCTCTTCTGTGGACACACCTCCTCCTCGCACGTTACTCAGCAAAGGGCCGGACCGTGACCCTTGACCCCAAAGCCAGACTCTGGCACATGGTGCTGTCATTGCTAGTCTTCACATCTGGTTTCCTCCCCTCAGCCATT